CCCCAAGGCCTGAAAAATAGTATTCCGTATGGCCAATATCTAAGGATTAGGAGGAACTGTACCATCGATGCCGACTTTGAAAGGGAGGCTCAGAACCTAAGGATGAGGCTACGGGCGAGGGGTTACACTAATAAAATTCTGAAAAAATCATATCAAAGAGCCAAGGGTGGACCTGGAATGACTAAAAATAAGAATAAAAGCAAGAATACAAACAAAGATAAAAATGTATTCAAATTTAAATCTAATGAAAAAGAAGACCCTCTGGTAAAATTAATTTTGACTTTTAATAACCAGCACAGTGAGGTATCAAGGATCCTTGAAAAACACTGGCATTGCCTAACTAGAGATGTTAGAATTTCAAAGTTCCTTAATATCAAACCCACCATCACATACCGACGTTGCCCCTCCTTAAAAGATAAACTCACAAATAGTGAGTTCGTTAATAGTAGTGGCACCTGCTGCAAATACAAGGGCATCTTCCACTGTCAGAGGTGCAAATTCTGTCGATTATTTTGTCCAAACTGGGACAGAAATAACCACCCCCCGGGGGAAACGTTTTAAGGTTCGCCATTTTGTAAACTGCGAGACAAAGGGGGTGATTTACTTAATGTTGTGTAGATGCGACATGTATTATGTTGGTAAAACTAAACACATGCTCAAGAACAGGATCTCTGATCATCTGGCTGATCATCTGGCTGACCTATCGGCCCGAGATCTGAGATCACCTATAGTAAGACACTTTGTAAACATACACAATGGACAAGCCGACAGACTTCGCTTCTTCTTTGCACTGGATAGAGTCCACCAACACAGACGGGGGGGGTGACTGGGATAAGCTTCTCCTACAAAGAGAGTGTATGTGGATCCATCAGATGGAATCCTATGAGGTGCTACCTCTGACCTGTCTGCATGTCAAACATAGTGCTTCCTGATTTGTACACATTTTTTACCTTACAACACATTTGTTACCTCAAGGTTCAAAACGTTGGTTAAAATCGAAATAAAGTTGGACTAACTTCCTTTTTTGATCATCCATCTAGATCATACGGGGATTCTACATATTTTGTGACTAGATTTACATCCATAGATTTAGGGCGATCTCTGGTAGAGTGTCCCTTTATTAATTTACTCTCCAGCAAGTCCGTCGTTGTGCTGTGCTTGGGGAGCTGCACACTGACGGACAGGGTTGCAATTAGTATTATTCTATGTCTGTATTATCATACATGGGACTCTGTATGTTTTTGATTGTATATGACTGTAACTGATCTAAATTGATGCCCATAGATCTAGGGTGATCTCGGTTAGAGTGCCCCTGTATAAATCTACTCCTCAGCAAGCCCGTGGGTGTGCTGTGTTTTAAGGAGCTGCACACTGACGGACAGGGTTGCAATTAGTATTATTCTATGTCTGTATTATCATACATGGGACTCTGTATGTTTTTGATTGTATATGACTGTAACTGATCTAAATTGATGCCCATAGATCTAGGGTGATCTCGGTTAGAGTGCCCCTGTATAAATCTACTCCTCAGCAAGCCCGTGGGTGTGCTGTGTTTTAAGGAGCTGCACACTGACGGACAGTGTTTGAAGTAGTATTATTCCATGTGTATAATGATCCACAAATGTTAGTCCTTCGGATATATAAAACCAATGATGATGGACCGGGGTGTATATATATGTAGGGCTTCACGGGCGCCCTTACAACAATCCCTTATGAAGAAATGAGCCGGCTTCAATTCAATAATGGCTCATCAACCACTTTGAATATCTGGATCTCATTAGAGCTCTCATCAAGGAGCTATATAATTCGCCTCTGCAAGACACTGATTACACGTCCCTCTGAGAAAGCCCCATTGGTTGGGGGGAAACGCGTTAGGGAGAACGTGTCTTCAGACCTCCTTGGACACCCAGGATTTACTCCTTATACGCCGTCGGGTGAATGAAGATGTTCTAACACCTGATACGATTTGAGTTAAGCCTGCTTGGGCACCACTACAACATAGCAGCAGCGGACTCTGCAGCTTGAAGCCCAAACTGAGTGGAACACACTTGCTCATGCTACTGGACTACAGGCAGACTCCAGATCCGATGTGACTCGGACATTTTACCTTTGGGATTTCACCCACCTTCATTTTATTGTGCGGCCGCACTTGCTGGAAGAAGTCCGTTGACTCCGCTACGGTTGGGAAGTGCTTTCAATCCCGCGGGCTAGTGTCAGTTCAAACGAACTGTGAAAGACACCCTGTGCTTGTACAGAATCTGAGTGAGATAATCTTCTGGAGCTACAAACCAACATCAAGATATGCTCCTTTTTGAAACAACTTATCCATACTTAACACATAATCTCACAGGGACTGCCTCTCAATCGAGCCACATCAGAAGTGAGTAACTCTTTGATACAATTGTATCTGTTTTCCAACACAGCACTTGTGCTTGTATCAATGACTTTTTGCTACTCAGGTGGTTAGCAAATCATCACCCTCACCACTTTAAATTGGGTTATCCTAGGAGGTCGGTCTTCGATTTTAATTTATTTTAGATGTCTTGTAGTAGGTGATTTAATGTTTTGTAATATCTTTTCTAACTCATTAAATATTGTTATATATACTTACTGTATTACTCCATTACTAGACAGCTCCAATCTTGGGATTTCTTGGCTTAGGGGAATATTGTCTTTTTGGATGCACCAATATATCGGCCGCCAAAACGTATCGGTCGAAAATGGCACTTTTGGCATAATGCCGAAAGTGCCATTTTCTGGCCAATACAGTGGTGCATCCATTCTTTCTCTCCTCCCCCTGGGTGCTCTGTGTCCCAGCGGGGAGGAGATTTGTCACAGGAGGAGAGTGCTGTGCGCGGCCGGCGTCTCTCCTCCCACACCGCTCGGCCTCTTGTCACAGATCAGAGGAGAGCAGTGTGTTGGCAGAGACCGCCAGCGCTGTCACAGGAGGCTGAGCTCTCCTCCCGCATCGCTCGCTTAGCCTCCTGTGACAGCTGTCAGGAAGGAGAGTAAGTACAAACACTCATTGATCCCTGAGTGTTTGTAAATAATTGAGGACATGGTATGTTGACTATATCCCCAATTATGAATGAATGGGAAGTGATCTACATCACCTCCTGTTCATTCATGAATGTGGTTATAGTAAACACTATGTTCTCATGTTATGAATGAACAGGAACACTTATAGAGGATTCCGGTTCATTTATAAAAGGGGCTGCAGAAAAAGAGATTAAGGACTCTGTGTCCTCAATCTCTTTTATTATTTTAAAAGGGAAATATCAAGGGTCTGTTTAGACCACTAATATTTCCCCGAAGACCCTAAAAGTAAAATAAAAAATACAAATTTTTTAAAAAAATATATAATTTTTTTTAAAAAGTTTATAAAAAATAAATTAATTAAAATATTAAATAAATTAGAAAGTTAAAATAAGCATTTTTGGTTTCGGCCTGACATTTTTTTTAATTTAGATTTTGACATTTTCATTTTGGTGCACCTCTATTAAAAACTATGATCTAAAACCACAAAAATTACACATTCTTTTTTTAATATGTAATTCCCCAGCAGTCCCTATAGCTAACAGAAAAGAGGGTTTAAAGCAGGGGTAAGTATGATTGTTATTTAGTCTGTTGCGCCCCTTCCCTCTTGGGACAAACGTTCTCAATTAATATGGGGTGATCAGCAATGCATTGCAGCATAGGGAAGTTAATCGGTACCACAATGGTGATGCTCCCCGTAGTCCTGAATCATAGCAAAGCAACAAGTTCACTTTAATTCTGGCCTCACCAGCTGCATGTTTTTACATAGAGCTGAGGACTTGCTCATTTCCTCCATGTGACAATGCTGAGAACTTGACAGCCAGCACTCTTTCATGGGAATTCCATGCTCCCCCATTTACAGACATACCAGGTATTTTACTTTCCTCCCAGTAGGTGAACAGAGCAGTGGAGGCGTTAAGGAATGGTAAGCATGTGCTACTGGTGGGGCGTGCATTAAACTGAAGCTGTAGCTTAGCCCTACAAGGTTTGAGTTTGTTTTAAGGAATTTTTAGTACCACTGGAATGCCAGGTTCTAGTTTTGGTTGGTATACCACGAACATTTAAAGTGTACCTTTCTGTCTTGCCTGGACTGTACATTTAAAAGGATAATTCCAGGAAAAGTGAATGCATTAAGTAATTAAAATGTATTCAATGTTGAAATCACTAAAATCCACAAGTTCTTCCTTCCATTTCTACCGTCCACATACTGATAGATGGCTTGCTCAACTGCAGCCCAAATGAGAACGTTTTCCTCTTTCTGACAAATTTTCGAATCACTGCTATAAAGTACGTGTCAGGGCGCATGAGACAACCTAACTCAGGTTAAAGACAAATGAGACAATAATGGCAAGAGCTGCCGAAGATACTGGATTCCCAGGTTAATGCAAGAAGACAGTAGGTGATTTGCCTGTCAGCATCCACCCAAAACTGTAATATGAAAAGGGTGGCATTTCCTTTCATAAGGCTGTTTTATTGATATTTTTTGCTCAGAACTGTCTACACTGCAGTCCACCGAAACAAAATACAACTAGTCAGGTTTATAAAATATCTATTTAAAAAACAAGTCAGTACAAAGCCCAGCATTTGCCGCAACAAACATTACTACAAACTGCACACACAGAATGGCTTTAGTCCTCCTACATTCTTAATTTACGAAAGGGAAAACAGAAACAAAAACATGCTTAGAGACTTTCAGCACTTACTATAGAACGTTAAATAAAATGATACACTGAAGTGACAAATGTGCTGGGCTCTAAAGAGAAAAATAACTTATTTGATTTCCAGCAGGAGTAAATAATCCTCAATGACTACTTTAAATTTTGTTATTTCTTACAAATAAATTCAGGGCTGCATGAGTCATCAAACTGCAGCTGTGCTGACAGGCTATCTAGGATCAGCCTGCATGAATATATAATGATAGATATGTAGTGGAATCTTTAAAATGTGAGCAAAAGATGACAAACCTCAGATGGCTTCTTCTCCTTCTGCCTGGCACAGGTGGCTTTTGTGGTTGGTATTTTGGAACACCTTGATAATGATGTTGTCTGACCTGCAATAAATATATAATAGATATGTGAGGTATGGGCCCCTAACATGTATAAACGCAAACCTTAGAGTGTATGTAAACTCTAACAATGAGCTTGTCTTATTGCCTACCTTTTTGCTATGTTAAGTATATAATTAAAATGGGTTGTTATATCTGCTCAATAAGTGCCAAAAACATGCCTTTTGATTATGTCAGAAATTTAGAGCTTTCCTGTGTTATCTAAGGAAGTCTAATTAACCCTCCTAGTTCGTATCTTGGAACTAAAGAATGATTAGTGTCTGTGTTGTGGAGACAACAACAAGTATGTGTTTACACAATAATCTGCTATTTTCTATTGCAATACAGTGAAGATATTGTTTAACCAGTTGACATCCGCGGTGTTAAACCCCCTTCCCATCCAGGCCATTTTTCAGTATTCAACCCTAGAGATATTTTACTCTCTCGCCATTTCTCAAGCATAAAAAGGGAACTGAACCTTGGTGCCCAAAAAAAGGCAGCCACAGAGCAAAGGAGTAATCACAAGTATTGCCTGTGGTCTCCCAGCAGTTGATCTTTCTGTATTGCTGCCTTACCAAGCCTTATTCTGCACAGTAGTGATATCACCAATCTCACTCCAAATCTCTTGATACTGGAAGTCAGAGGCAGCAGTGCCTTAGATCTCACATTGCAGATGCAGAGCTATGAGACACATGGGCAGTAGTGTCTAGGCATATAGCATAAGCTGAACTATTTTTCAGGAGGAATTCAAAACAAGGTACATTTTTCAAAGTACTGGTATGGCAAACTTAGCATTACTAGATGTTTACTATAACATAGCAAATCTTGAACTAAAAAATGTAAGTCCACTTTAACGTACAAGTTCAGCACAAGAGGCTGCAGCTGTTGGAAGAGGTAAGTACAGACCTGAAAGAGAGTACATCCGAATGTATTGGGAGGGGGTTAAGAAGAAGGGGGTTATTTTAGAACAAAGCTGAAATTTAAATTGAGAACTTTTATTTACCTATATCCATCCACACTGTCCTTTTTTTATTTCTTTTAACTAATTTACCTGCTACTGTTAATTTTCAATATATTCACTAAATGGCAGACTACAGTCCAGATATGGACCGAGTGGCAGTTCTGTCCACACCATTGCACCACTGCGCTGCGTTATGTCTGGCTGATAGTGGATTCGCTGAACTCTGATGCTAAAGCATCCACTGCTAGCCATTACCCAGCGGTTATGCTAGGACTACTGGCATCCTAACAACCAATGATGTCCGATATCCACATCTCCACAGTCATTGGTTGCTAGGACCACCGGTGTTCCTAGCAACCAGTGATGTCAAAACGAAAATGTAGCGGTATTTGTCTCCTATGTGAGAAGTGATCTAAAAGTGAGTAGGAAAGAGGACTTTGTTGATGGTGAGTGTGATGGTGCTGAGGCGTTATGGGTGGAGGTGTATACTGGTATGCATAACGCAAAGGTAATTATTGGAGTTTGTTACAGGCCCCCCAGTACCAATGAAGAGATAGAGACTCCGCTCCTTATACAGATAGAAAGGGCTAACATTAACCGACATTAATGGCACTGATGAAACAGTAAAAGGGTGAACATTTATAAACTTATTACATGACAATTTTATAGTAGTTTGTAGAAGCCACCACTAGAAATGATGCTCTGCTGGATCTGGTAATCTTAAACAATGCAGAGCGTATTACAAATATTCATATAAAAGAACATCTGGGTAGCAGTGACCATAATATGATTTCATTTAACTCCAAGTTGTAAACCTGCACATACTGGAAAAATAAAAACACAACTTCAGGAGAGCAATTTTTACCATGCTGAGGGCTGCTCTTGAAGACTTTAACTGGGAGGGAATATATGCATCAAAAAACACTGAACAAAAATGGGAATGTTTTCAAATCAATTGTTTGCAAACATCAAAATATATTCCTGTAAGCAATAAGTTTAAAAGGCTAACAGTAAAATCCATGTGGCTCACATCCAATGTTAAAAAACCCCATAAACAATAAGAAAAGGGCTATTAAAAAATATAAAAATGAAGGAACACTGTCGTCATTTGAAAGCTACAAAGAATATAACAAAATATTTAAAAAGGAAATCAAGCTTTGAAAGATTCAAAACGAACAACAAGTTGCAAAAGAGTGCAAGACAAACCCCCAAAAATTCTTTAAATATATTAATAGTAAAAAAAAAAAAACAGGTCTGAGCATGTAGGCACCTTAAAAGATTACTCGGAGTTGGTAACTGGGGACAAAGAGAAGGCAACTCTATTAAATAGTTTATTCAGCTCTGTGCACACCAAGGAACAGGATGTAACACAAGTCAATAATGGGGATGACAGTGCCACAGCCTCTAATGAACCACAATGGCTGACTATTGATATGGTCCAGAAACAGACAAAATTAAGGTGAACAAAGCACCATGGCTTACACCCACGTGTCCTCAAAGAATTGAGCTGTTTATTTTTAAAGCCATTGTATCTAATTTTTAGAGACTCTCTAATGACCGGCTTGGTATCGATGGATTGGTGCAAGGCCAATGTGGTGGCTATATTTAAAAAGGGATCAAAGTATTTACCAAATAATTACAGACCTGTAAGTTTTTAACTTCAATAGTAATTGTTTTTGCTTGAAAATAATATTCGTGATGGGCTGAACACACCTGAGTTAATAAGAACTTTAGAACAGGGAAAACGTTCTTACAAGAACTTAGAATGAAAGTCTATGGGGCCAGAACTGGTAAAATCAAATGTCCCCATTTTGAAGGCGTATATGCAAGTTATTGGCCATAAAAAGGGTATGGGGATTTGGGTACTGCCCTGGGGGACATGTATCAATGCAAAAAAAACACTTTTAAAAAATACAGTTTTTTAAGGAGCAGTAATTTTAACATTACTAAAGTATAACAATAAAAATGAAAAATTCCTTTAAATATCGTGCCCGGGGGGTTCCCTTAAACCGCCTGTAAAGTAGCACATCTGTACGATGTATAGAACCTGCCGCAGCAAAACTGACATAAATTTAAAAAAATGACATTTAAATTGCCGGTAATTAATTTAATCTTGTAAGCAACTGCCTGGGGAGGCAGCCTGTATGAAGAGGCCACATTTTAAGACACTCAGAACAAGGTTAGAGATTTTTTGGATACATTCTGGTGTCTCTTTTGCAGACATTGGATGAAAGCAACAAAAGGTGCTTTAAAATGAGGCCTTTAGTGTTGGTGGTGCCTTCACACCGTAACCAGCGAGCTGTTCTTGACGAGTGCAGGATTAGATCCTGTTCTAAAATTTCAAATTATATATACCTGTCACACAGGTGTGTAAAAAATGGGCCTTTGGTGTTGGTGCCTCCACACTGTAACCCCTCACAGTTACTCTTGATGAGCGCACTGACAGCAACACACTATTTCTAACCTCAGCAACACACTACATAAGGCTGCAGTGTAAGCAGCCTTATATAGTGTGGGGCTGGGACTTGGCTATGAGCCACAATTGGGCAAAGTCATCATTACCTTGCCCAATCATGACTCTCACAGTGCATTCTGCTGTGATTGGGCAAAATTTTGTATTGCTTTAGCCAATCTGGGCTCTGTCAATGCACTGTGCGGTGCACAGTGCATTGTGGAGTGCTCGGCAAACAGAAGACCTAGGAATGCTCGAGAACAGTTCGACTCGAACATTGAGCCCATCTCTAATTATAAGCAATAGTCGGCACGGATTCACAAAAGACAGAAGTTGTCAAACAAATCTACTTTCTTTTTATGAGGAAGTGAGTAATAAATTGGACAGAGGAATGGCTGTGGATATAGTATAATTGGACTTTGCAAAAGTGTTTGACACCGTTCCCCAAAATGTGGTTAATGTATATGTTAAGGTCAGTAGGTATAGAGTATTCAATCTTTAATTGGATAGAAAACTGGCTTAAAGACCGTATTCAGAGTGGTGATCAATGATTCCTACTCTGAATGGTCTAAGTGGTGTCTAAGTGGTCCCCAAGATTCAGTGTTGGGCCCCTTACTGTTTAATCTAGAGTTGGGGATTAAAACTACTATTTCTGTGTTTGCAGATGACACCAAGTTATGTAGTGGAATACAGTCCTTACAGGATGTCTCCAACTTACAAGCAGATCTGAACGCACTGTGTGATTGGGCATCTATTTGGCAAATGAGGTTTAATGTTGATAAATATAAAGTTATGCGCTTGGGGACTAAAACCATGCATACTTCATACACTCTAGGGCAGGGGTAGGCAACCTTGGCTCTCCAGCTGTGCTGAAACTACCAATTCCATCACGCTTCTGCCTCTGGGAGTCATGCCTGTGGCTTTCAATGCCTTATGGGATTTGTAGTTCAAACACAGCTGGAGAGCCAAGGTTGCCTTCCCCTTAGTTGATTAGTTGTTGCAGCCCCAGTCACATCAGTCTCTGTACAGAGGAGCTTGCACTCTAATGTCCCCCCTCAGTCACACACTATGATTATACATATATATAGCTCTGACATATACCGCAGTGCTGTACAGAGATCACTGAGCCAGTCACATCAGTCTCTGTACAGAGGAGCCTACACTCTAATGCACAATGGCACCAACTGGGCTACAAATCCCAGCAATACATTTATACAGCAATGCAGAACAGTATATGAATTTGACTCGGGGCTTAGCGGCGCGCTGGACTCGGGGCTTAGCGGCGCGCTGGACTCGGGGCTTAGCGGGGACTCGGGGCTTAGCGGCGCGCTGGACTCGGGGCTTAGCGACGCGCTGGACCTGGAGCTTAGCGACGCGCTGGACGCGGGGCTGTAACAGCTCCCGCCGATCCGGCCTTTCAGAGCCGCGGACTCGAGGGGAAGCTTCGCCGACGTCACACAGAGACACCCCTATCCGCGTCATAAGCCGCAACCTCACGCTAGTCTGGCGTTCCAACAACCCGGGATGAACGCCAGACGTATGCCTCACTCCTCCACTATACTACCAGGGAAGGAGCTGCCCATATAGGGTCCAGGAAGCCCTGCTAGCATTGGATGCCTTTGGGAACCTCTACTGGCCTCACTGACAGACCTGCAAACAGCAAGTATTCACCCCCCTGGCTCTGCTGGCCATTGGGGTCCTATCTACATTATACTGAGCAGCTGGATTGACTTGCATGTACTGCTTATATAGAGACTTCCTCCTCCTGCTGTGCATATGTGCTACTCCCTACTCAATTCAACCGTATACTCCTTGTATGTGAAGTAACATATAGGAACTCGGGGCTTAGCGACGCAATGGTCAGGTGGGCGCCGATGGGACCCCAGCTTGCTCCAATGCCGCAATGCTGGGGCCCGGCGCTGCTAGGGCCCAACCGCCTCCTCACCTGTCACCAACAGCCAATACTCATGAAAGGGTCCCGGACGGGCCCCCAGGCTGCCTGGGCCCCTTACATGAGTATCGGCGTACCTCCCTGATGGCGGCTCTGCGGTGACAAGATGCTTTTCCAGGGGTGAATCCCTGGAAAAGCACCCTCCCAGTGCCGAGGGCATGCAGCCTATGACAAAGAAGGGGGCGCTCGCTCATTCCCCCCTCTCCTGCCCTGGTTGGGAATTTTAGGGGGACCCCACTTTTTTTCTCCTGTTTTTTAGGGGTGGGGTTCTTTCTTAAAATTCCTTTCAGACCTAAAGGGTCTGGTATGACTTTTGCGGGAACACACAGACTTTTTTTACGTTCGTGGGGGGGCGGGCTACTAACTTTGGTACCAGACCTAAAGGGTCTGGCATGGATCGGGAAAGGGACCCCACGCCGTTTTTTGCTTTTTTTTGTTTTGTTTACATTAGCGGGGAGAATGGTCTGCTTTGGCAGACCATTCTCCCAGCTTTGGCTATTGTGAATAGCCCGTACAGCAGCCCTTCGGTTCGGCTGAACCAAAGAGCTCCAGGCGGCCAACGTGAGTCAAAGGATTAGCCAAAGCTACGGCTATATCCTTAGGCAGCTTAGAATAATGCCTAAAAATTTTTGCAGCTCTGTTATCCAGGATACACCTCTTACAATACCTATTTAAGGTAGTTATTCTATTTAGAAAATATTAAACATAACACATTAAACTGATCCACAGGGATTGTATTTTTATATGGACTGTGTTACAGTATATTTATCCTGGACACCTCTTTGTCATACTTTCCTCCAAGCACTTTTAACTGTGTTTGAGATGCAAGCCACTTAATAGCCATTGTCCTCCAGTCTAAAGAGAATTTGCCTATAACATTAAAACTCAACACTCAAGGGGGCGTGGCCTGGACATGGCGCTGACCGGACGTGTGTGAACAGAGCTCCGCTGAGTAATGGAGCTGTAATACAGTAGATCTCCCCATCTGTCGCCATCTCGCCCTATGAAAAGAGGTACGAGAAAGTCGCGGACCCCCCGCGCCCAAGGCCTCGCCGAGGTCTCGGCGCATGCTGGGCGAAGTGAACCCCGCGGACAGGCCAGACGTCTGTGTGCCGTGCTGGGCTCACCACGAGGGAAGACATGCAGGCTATGATCACCCAAATAGCCGCCACGCTGCGTGCAGATCTCGTGGAGGTGACTGAAGGGGTTACTCAGAACACACGTCGCATAGAGGCTTTGGAGACTGCGGACACAGCAGTGCTAGCCAGACTCTCTCTATTGGAAGAGGTCGTGACCCAGCAGAAGGCCCAGACGATTCATCTTCAACTGCGGTTAGAAGACACAGAGAACCGCAATCGCCGTAACAACTTGAGGTTGAGGGGGATTCCGGAAGCCACCGGGGGCCCTGACTTAAGGGCGGCTGTCACGGCCATATTCAACATCCTGCTGGGTAAGCCTCCAACAGACATGCTTGAGCTGGATCGAGTGCATAGAACACTAGGCCCCAGAGGTACGGATGTGAATAGGCCCAGGGACGTATTGTGTCGTGTACACTTCAATATAAAGGAGGAAATCCTGCGCAACGCATGGAGACAAGGTACTGTGGACTTTGACGGGGCGGAGGTCCAAATATTGCCGGATGTATGCCCGCAAACCCTGTGCAGAGGACGCCTTCTCAAGCCTCTTACAGATCTCCTACAGGCCAAGGGAGTACCCTATCGCTGGGGTTATCCATTCTCGATGACTATTGGTAGGGGCGACGGATCTTTCAGACTTTTCCACCCGCGCCAACTACCGGGCCTTGCAGCTTACCTCGATTGTGAGCCCCTAGAATTGCGGGACTGGCTGGACACCTCATCCATGGATGGGGCAACCCCCATGCCTAGCAGGCCATCAAGATCCCAGAGACCTAGGAGCCGACGCCACAGATCCACCTCCAGGCCCATGAGAATGGAACGTCCTGGTGACCGTTCCAGGGAAAGGACACCACTCAATGCGCCAGTTACAGGCCCATATCTCTGCTAAATACCGACCTGAAGATGTTTACACGCATTCTTGCCTTCTTGGATGACCTTATCGGGATGGAACAGGTTGGATTTGTTCCAGGCCGAGAGGCCAGGGACAACACCATCAGGACACTAAACGTCATCCATCTCGCTAGAACACGCTCACAACCGCTCCTCCTGCTTTCCCTGGATGCGGAGAAAGCGTTTGACAGGGTGAGCTGGTCATTTTTGAGGGTAGTGTTGGAGTATGTTGGACTGGGGGAGAGTATGAAGCAGTGGATAGGGTCATTGCACTCCAACCCCACAGCAGTGGTGCGCATTAATGAAACTTTATCTGAACCCTTTTCCATCTCTAACGGAACGCGCTAGGGATGCCCTCTGTCTCCCATTATTTTCATACTAACCCTCGAACCGCTCATTAGGACAATATATGCGTCCCCGGACATTAAGGGATTGGACTGTTGTACGAGACAACATAAGGTGGCGGCTTATGCCGATGACCTGCTGCTGTATGTTACCCTCCCAGAGGTTTCCCTACCCAATATCATGCAGGCGGTGCGGGTTTATGGCCATTTGTCGAACTTCAAACTGAATTGGAGTAAGACAGAGGCGTAGTCCCCCGGACCTCCCTCCTCCTTACTTTGTCAGGCAATGGGCTGCAGATCTGGGCGTGGAATTGGACGCTGAACAGGTGGACCGTATGGTACACTTTGCTCTCAAATCCTCTGTGTCCACTAAATATCAGGAAGCTGGTTACAAACTGCTGACAAGATGGTACAGGGTTCCAAAGACGCTACACGCTATGTATCCGTCGGTGTCAGAAACATGTTGGCGTTGTGAGGAGGAGGTAGGATCCCTGCTACACGTATTCTGGGAATGTCCTAGGGTTGCCCCATTCTGGGTTCAGATTGCAACTCTAGCCCAGAAGATCACAGGCCTGACTTTACAGTTTACTCCATTGGTGTATCTCCTCCACTTGGCACCGCTATCGCGGAAATCATATAAACGCTCCCTACTTATTCATTTGCTGAATGCAGCGCGGGCGTCTATACCAGCACTGTTGAGGCAATCATGCCAACCCTCTATAGTGATGTGGGTAGGAAGAGTGGAGGAGATCAAACCAATGGAGGACCTCACGTCTTCCATAAAAAAGACCCAGCAGAAGTTTGTTGCTACATGGGCAGCATGGTACCAGTTCAGGGACTCCCCGGAATTCCCGCATGATAACCAGGGGTGAGTCAAAGGTGGAGCGGCCCTCAGGAGGCTGGGCATCCGCGGAACCGCATTTGGGGGATTGTTCTTTCCCCTTCCCTAATTGTCATGTCTTTGTGTTACATGTACTCTTGCTTTTCTCGTCTTGCTGTTCTTTTCTCTTGTGCTCTTTGTATGTATCAGTGGAACTATCCGCTCTAAATGGAGGGGTAGTATCCGTAGTACTTCCTCTTAAGTCCTACACCAGTAAAACGGAAATTGTCTTGAGTGCTGGTGCAGACCATAATGGATATATGGTGTGGGAATGGTTTTGAGGTGGGGGGGGTCGGGCCTGAGGTGTTTATGTAACTGTTGACATATGCATATGTTTG